ACTCTCTCTGTCTTTGTTTGTTTGTTCTCTCTCTCTCTCTCTCTTTCTCTCTCCCTCCATCTCTATATCCCTATACATCTCGTTTTTGTTATACATATATTACTAGTATCTCTCTCTCGCTGTACTCACCCCCTCCGTCGTTCTGCCTCCCCCTCTCTCACTCTCTCTCTCTCTCTCTTTCTCTCTTTCTCTCTTTCTTTCTTTCTCTCTCTCTCTCTCCTTACATATGTTTCTCTCTGCCTCTTCCTCCCTCACTCTCTCGTTCGCCCCCCCCCCTCTCTGTACTTATTACTGCTCGGGTGTAATATGTGTGGTGGGTATCTTTATACACACAGATATACATATTGATTCATCCCTCGCTCTCTCTGTCTCTCATTGTTTGTATTGAGCTTCTTTTTCTCCGTGAATCCCCTACCTCCTCCAGTCCCTCTCTCTCGATCCCCATATTACTCCCGCTCTTGCTCTGTCTCCCTTCCTCCGGGTCTTTCTGTGTGCCCTTGTGCCTCTCTCTCTCTCTCTTTCTCTTTCTCTCTCTACATCTCTGTCTGTTTATATAATTCACCGCTGTTTGTTTTGCGTTCTGTGATGATCATATGTTTCATACTCTCTCTCTCTCTCTCTCTTTTGTTTCTCTCTCTCTCTCTCGTTCGACTCCTTTTTTATATACATATATATATATATGTGTAGTATCTCTCTCTCTCTCTCTCTCTCCCCCCCCCTCCCTCCCTCCCTCCCGTCCTCCATCCCTTCCTCATTTGTTGTTGCTTCCCCCCTCCCTCACTCACTTTCTAATCTCATCTGCTCTCCTCTTCATCCTTCTTCTCAACTGGCGACTCTGTCTACTCTGTCTGTCGATCGTGGCCTCCCGAGAAAAGCGCATCTTCCGCACGCATTCTGGCTCCGCGTGTGCGAACTACGGGCCGTGCCATATTCAAAGGCTTCCACACTTGAAAGTACAACGGCGCGTGCCCCAACAATTCATCACAGATCGCTGAATGGTTGGACCCCATCATATTTCAGAATTGCCTGATGGTGCAGTAAGGGTTCTTCTCCTACTACTGGCAGCTAGCGCTACCTGGCCCCCTTCCACCCCCGATTGTGGCCTGCCCCCAGGAGGCCCTCTCCCACCTTTGTGCGTCTCTCTCTCTCTCTCTTTATTTCTTTATCTTTTTGTTTTTTTGTTGTTTCTCTCTCTCTCTCTCTCTTCCCCCCCCCCCCCCCCCTCTCCGCACTCCTTTCCTCTCCTACTCCTTCTCCTTCTCCTCCCTCTCTCTGTTCCTCCTCCCCCCTCTCCCTATCCTCTGTCGCACTTTCCCCCCCCCCTCCCGCACTCCCCCCTTTCCCTTCCCTCCTTTCCCCCTCCCGCACGTCATCCTCTTCCTGCCTGCCTGCTCCACCTCCTGCTCCGCCATGGTCCTGGTGTTCCGGCAGTTCCCCGTGCCCGTCCCCCTCCCCTCAGGCCCCCCTCCCCCCCACTCCTTCCCCCTCCTCCTCATCCTCCTGCTCTTCCTCCTCCTCCTCATCCGCCTCCTCCTGCTGCTCTTCTTCCCCATCTTCTTCCTCCTCCCCCTCCTCCTTCTCCTCCTCCCTCTTCCTGGGTGCTCTCTGCCTTGGGGCTGACATCCGCCGTCCTCGGCCTCTTCTGGCTCTTCTTTCTCCGCCTCCTCCTCAGCGCTCCAAGCCCTGAGGCTGGCCTGAGCCTCCTTCTTTTCGTCCACCACCTCCTCCTCCTCGGACTCTTCCATCTCCTCCTCGCCCTCAGCCTTCTGTCTCCTCCTTCCTCCTCCTCCTCCTCCTCCCTCCTTCTCCTGTTCTTCCTCCTACTCCTCCTTCTCCTCCTCCTCCTCCTCCTCCTCCTCCCCGTACTCCTACTCCCCTTCCCCCCCCCTCCGCTCTCCTCGTTCTCCCCCTCCTCTTCTCCTCTTCCTCCTCCTCCTCCTCCCGCTCCTCACTGCTGCTGCAGCCCCTCCGCCCTCGTCCTTGCCTCCTTCCCATCCCCAGAGGCCTCCAACATGAAGTCCGAGCAGAATGGTGTCGGAGGATCGCGCCGCATAGCCAATGCATCGGCCATGCGGGGCGATCCTTCGACCCCATCTGCTCGGACCCCACTTGGACGACGAAGCGACACGGGTCTTACGCGAGATGGCACAGCGACCCTGCGCGGTGGCCTACGCGGGCCGCCGGCGCGGCACGTTACACTGGAAACGAGGACGCTTCCGTGCGACCTCACGTGGGCAGCTTGCGCGCCAAGGTCGGCGCAGACGGCACCCTCTCTTTGCGTCGCTCACTGGGGAGGCCTCCCCCCCCACTGAGGGGCAACGATAGGGGGACTGGCATAGGGGAGGACACGTCAACCTGTGATCGGCGATGTATCGCCGGTAGATCGGCGATATAGGCCCCCGATAGCAGCTCCGCACCTTGCTGGGCGGGGCGGGGCTATTGGGCCCCTGTCGGCGATCAATGGGCGATTGAGGTTCGATGCATCCCCCCTATTCGGGGGCGCACAAACATGGATGGGGGGAGGCACCATCCCCAAAACGTGGCCGGTGCTGCCTCGCTCGGCGGCGGAAATCCGCGACTTCCCTATGGAACCAGGGCCCGTCGCTGATCCACGCCCCCTTGATCCATGTTTGCGATCGCCTGACCTATGCCTGTCCCCCCACATCGTTGCCCCTGCTGGGATGTCCGAGGGGGTTTCTGAATGGATAGGGGGGTTACAAGTGGATGCCGAGTTGGGTTATATCTGGCCCAACCTGGCTTAGAAGTGGGTTACAAGTGCCTTCGGTAGCTTAGGGGGGTTAAAATAACTCGGTTGAGTGGGCGGAGCCCACTCAGCCCGGATCGCTAACCCTCCTAAGCTACTTTTAAGGCACCCGTAGCCCACTTATAAGCCAGGTTGGGCCAGATATGACCCACCTCGGCATCCACTTGCAACCCCCCTATCCATTCAGAACCCCACACGGCCATGAGCCTGTTTTTTTAGACTCTGGCAAGTTTACTTGCATGGACGGGGGGGGGGCTGAGCCTGAAGCAAGCCCGGGGGGGGGGGCGCGGAAATCACGCAAGTCGAAAGGCACTTGCACGCTAGTATTCGCTTGAAGAGGGGCGAGGGGGGGGGGGGGGGGGGGGGGGGGGGGGGGGGGGGGGCGAACGCCATGCAAGTAAACTTGCCTGAATCCCCCCAAAAAACAGGCTCCATCCCAGTGACCCCCCCCCCCCCGGAAAGGGCGGGCGCCTCATGTCGACCGGTGGAGCCGAGGACGAGCTCGCGTGAGAGGCCCTGCGCTCCGGCGCCGCCGCCACGGGGGGGCCGTGGCGCGAGGGCGGGGGCGCGAGGGCGAGAGAGGTGGGGAGCAAGAGAGGGAGGGAAGGGGAGGAGGAGGAGGAGGAGGAGGAGGAGGAGGAGGAGGAGGAGGAGGAGGAGGAGGAGGAGGAGAGGAGTGCCACGGGGCCAATCCTCCCAGAGGCTGTGTCCAGGAGGGGGCGCTTTTCGTAGCGGGGGACCTGGGACCATAACCCCAGCGCCCAGGGGCTGCCCTTGGTGAGCGGGGTGGGGACCCACTCGGGTGTCCCCGGGTTTTTTGGGGAAGGGAAAAGAAGGAGGGGGAGGGGGAGATTTTTTGGGGGGTGGGGGAGGGCGGGGATGGAGCGGACAGCACCCCGACAAAGCACCACCGGTAAGCAATCCTGAGAGTACTGCCAACGCTGGTAAACTACACCGTATCACTAGCGACAATGCTCATGGACGACGTTTCGTTCGGAATGCCCGGTGGGGAGGGAAGGGGAGGGGAGGAGGACAAGCTTAGGGCCAGAGATCCATTGTGTTGGAAAAAACAGGACGGTGTTTCTTCGTCGTGCTCGGCCTCCAAAGGCCCTCGCGTGATCCAAAAACCGTTGCAAAAACGGCCCGGGAAGAAGAACTGGTCCAGGGGAATGGGTTGGGGCTTCAAGGGGCCGTGCATTGAAAACATCAAGGCGTCGGATCTTTACGGGTGCGCTCGCGCCACATCTGACATCGTATCTCTCCCTCCCGTCCCTTCCCATTGCGCCGATTTTGCGCTAGCCGACGCGGTTCATATAACACCAGTACTTTTAGCAAAGCACCCCGATAGCAGCAAGGGTGAGTTGTGGGACCTGTGGGGGAATTCGCTGGAATTCGCTGATATCCACGGGGTGGCAGCGAGTTCAGCGAGCAACAGGCGGCGGGCCTCGGAGGGCAGCCTCGCGCCTGACAGTGCCCAGCTCACGAGCCTGGGACGTCTTCGACGGCCCCGCGTGGCTGGGAAACAATCCCTTTTTAAATTCGCTGAAGGTTCTCAAGACCTTTCTTTGTGCGGTCTTTGCATTCGGCAACTAAATGACGTGGGTCCTCCGTGGCCGTTTTACCACACGTCAAACAAAAATGTAGCCCAAACTTGGGCCAGAAATGCAAATTGTGTGAGGAGTGACCCCAACCGTCACCGCCCCACAAGCCCGCACCACCCCATGATCGGCGAGACCTGAAAGGTCAGGGCTCGCCGCTTGACATTGCGTCGCCGCAAAGGCGGCGACATCATGCACGGGGGCGACTTGGTGACACAGCGAGCACAGCCATTTACGTTCGGTCCTGACCAAACAGTGCTCGCTCTTAAGAAGGGCCTCAGGGAGGCCTCCAACCCGACGGGCCTCGGGAGGCCGCTCGGCGGACCACGGGGCAACACTGATGGATTCCACCATAGCTTTCGCCGCGCGTCGCCTAACCAGCGACGCGGTGCAATCCCAGAGATCCGTGTCGGGGGGCCTTTGGCCCTGGAGGCCATGGGTCCAGGAAAACTTGGCCGCATCTCCAGCGAGCGTGTCGGCAAACCCATTGCCCGCGGCAAACAACCGCTCCTGAGGGGAGAGGGCGGGGTCCTCAGGGTCAACGTGCGACGGGTACCACACCACCTGGACTTCACCCTCTCCCCTCTCAGCGAGGGCGGCACGGACACGGAACCAGAGGTCAGAGTTGAGGCCTTTTACAATGCTCATGCCTTCTGGAGTGCCACCCTCGATGGAGGGCCGCGTTGTCCGTGACAAAACGCAGCGGGCCTGGAAATCGGCGAAGCGCAAGCTCAAACGCGCGGATCTCGGCTCTGGGCACCGTTTGGCGGCGACCTCCAAGGGTCGAGGCAAAGCCGCGGGCCCGAGTCCAGCCTCCAGAGGCTGGCGCCAGCGTAATCGCAGCCGCGCCCACCCTTCGGCGACGAGGGTCGCTGCTAAATTGCCCTCCCGAGCCGTCGCCGAAAACGAGAAGCATGCCATCTTCTCTACAGTCGAGGACGTCCGAGTGCTCTCCGTCCACCCCCCCCACTCCACGTCCTCCCCCCCGTCACGAAAGTCAGGACACGTGAAAGAGCGAGGCGGGAGCCCGCGCAGCCAGAGACTCGGGTTGGCCTCGTGGCCTGCGCGGGCCTGAGCAACTAAAAACTCTGAGTGTTTTCATCCGCGGGGTCATCCTTGTTGCAGGGGCACTCCCAAATACGGTGGAAAAGGGTCTCCTCTGGGGCCCCACAACGCGGACATTTCAAGGACACAAGATAGCCTCGATCTCGCTGCCTCTGAAGAGGCCACTGGCCTCCAGAGGCAACTGTGACCATCTGACCGATCTGATCGAATTCGTCACGTTTCAGGAAACGCTGGAGCTGAGAACGAATGGCAGTCACGTCGGCACCTGAGACGAGATCATCCCCGTGCTCGTGTTTAGCCGCCTGCTGCCACAGCTGAGCTTTGAGGTCCTCAGCAAAATCGCTAACTAATTCAGCAATGTCGAAATCTCCAGCGACTCGATCGGCCGCGATGTCAGGAAACTGCCAGGTTTCAAACGTGTCGGCTCCGATGGGCCTGCGCCATTCGGTGGGAGAAATGGGCCTCCAACCCCCGTCTTTCAGGGTGGCGGTGATGGCCCCAATAGGCCCTCGGACTTCCCGCCACCTAAACTTGGGGTCGTGCCCAAGACGCGCGGCCACCAATGGCCAAGCTTTCACGATTCGAGGGTGGAGGGAGGGGCACTTGTCCCAGAGGTCGAGCCAGGAGCGGACCAGCTGGGTCCGTAAACTGATTCCAGGGTCCTTGTCCCCAAACCAAATCGCCACAGTGGTGGTGAGGCAGCGCCCTGGGCCTTTGCCCGCGACAGTTTGGGCCGCCTGCCTCCGCAACTGGAGGATGGAGGAAGGGGAAAGCCCCATTGCCTGGTGCCCATACACCGAGTGGGGCAAAGCCCCCTGCAGCCACAGACCTTGGGACTCCTTGGCAAGAGAAGCGTGCTTGCGAAGTTTATTAATGCGAGCACCTCTGGAGCGGCCCTTGCTCAGTCGCTGGCTGAGCTTCACGCACGACCGACGCGACCCCCCCGCAACGTCACACACCAAATCCACCGCAGTGTTGACGAGCGAGGCCGGCATTCCCAGACGGCTGATTTTGGTCAAAAGCTCGGGGCCCAACCTGGGAGTGTTGACCACAAGCTTGGTCTTGGAAAATATCGGGAGCTCCTGGTCCGCAAACGACCGCACAAACGAGTCAGCGAGCCCCTGCATCTGGCCAGAAACGTCGGCCCATCTCCCTTCGGACCGAGCAACAGTATCATCTACGAACGTCCAGATGGCAGAAGAGGCCTTGGCCTGACTCAAGGCCAGCACCCTGTGGGCCTCCTCCATGATGGGTCCCGGGAAAAGTTTGGCCAGCAAAACTCCCTTGGAGGACCCCGCGACCAAGGACCGAGTCGGGAACACAAATTCGCTGGCCATGGCCCGAGATTTCAAAACCCGCGGAGCCAAAAACATCTGGACTTCCAACAGGGGACCTGTGGGGGAAGGGCGAGGAGCAGGGAGGGAGGAGGAGGGAGGGAGGGCGAGGGAAGGCGAGGAGAGGGAGGAGGAGGGGACGGTGGATGGAGGAGGCGTGAGGAGCCGACTGGGGGTGAGGATGTGGGGGAGGGAGCGTGCAGCTTGCGGGGCGCTCTTGGCTCTCAGAAGGCGCCCTCTTCGAGCCCAGCTCGGGGCCTCTGTCTGGGTTCGCCCATAGAAGAGGCCGTACCCAGAGCCTCCAGACGGCACTCCCTAGACGCACGCTCAGTCCCAAATAACTACAAAACTAGAACCATGCGCGCGCTCTGCGCGCGCTTGGGTTTTAGCGCAGACCAAGCAGCACCGCACGAACGCACGCACAAGGACAAGCCGTTGTAGCTTTGGTTTTCTTGTGCCATAGTGAACTTCATAAAGCGCTCTGTGGACTTCCTAGTGCCCGCTGAGGGCTGTCGAGGGCCATCTGGGGGGCCGATTTCGGTCGTTGTGGTCCCCTGTTGTGGGCTCTCCAACTTCTCCGAGCCTGATTGCAATCGTACGGAAAGGACACGCGACCAATACTACAACGCGCCAACACTTTGAGTAAGGAATCCGTCGCCGTCCGTGAACGGCAGTGGCGTGTGAGAATGCCAATGGGCTCCGTGGTTGGTCTTCTGTATTCTTTTTCGGCACCCGCAGTGGACTCTTCTTGAAGCCCTCTTGGGGTCCGTCCAGGCTCTCTTGGGGCGATCTCGAGGGACCGCCCTGGGCGGTCGGCAGCCGGGTACGGCGACATCCTCCAAAAACACATGGGAGCTCCATGCTTTGGGCCTCGACGGGCTCTCCTGGGGGGTCTCTTGCAAACCTGGGCCTTGCGTGCCGTCGCGAAGCTATCTTGGGCCGTCTCCGGGGCCCTCGTGGGCCATCTTGGAGGCAGAGCGGGCGAACTTGGAGGCCTCGTGGACCCTCTTGGGCCGTCTTGGATGCCAGCTTCCATCGGCGAAGGCCAGATTGGAGCCATGTGAACCCTTTTGGGGCCGTCTTGGGCCATATTGGGGGCATCTTGGGCCATCCTCGGGTCCTCTTGGGCCGTCTTGGGGCTATCTCGGCCTTTTGGGCTGTCTTGGGCCAATATTGGAGGCCTCTTGGACCACCTTGGGCGGTCGGAAGCCGAAAAAGGCGAGAACGCCAAAATTATGAACAACTAATTGATGATCAATGCTTTGAGCTTCGCCGGGTCCTCCTGGAGGGCCTCTTCGAAGCCTCTTCGGCCGTCTTGGGGGCTTTCTTTAGCCGTCTTGAGGCCATCGTGGACCGTAGTGGGGCCATGGTGGACCATCTTGGAGATCTCGTAAACGAACTTGGAGGCCGTCCTAGAGGCAATATTGAAGGCAATCCTGGAGGCAATCTTGAACCGTCCGCCCTGGGCAAACTTCGAGGCCATCATATCCGCATTGGGGGCACCTTGAGCATCTTGGAGGACATCTTCAGGCAATCTTGGGCCACATCGATGTCGTCGTCGCCTCCAAGACGCCCCTGAGAGGCCTGCGAAGTGATCCACACGTAAATCCAAGAGGCCTCTGATCTACAACCCAGGGACGGTGGCGGGATGGGCAGAAGGTCACCATTTGATCTACAATGGGGGCTCGGCCACAAAAAACTTCCGCAAGAAACCCAACCCTGATTTGTTCAGTGAAAAACCACATTTGTCGATCGAACATCGTCAAGATCTTACTGGGGGCCCATCGCAATCCAAGAAACCCAGGGCACCCTGGCAAATTCCAATTGGTTTCTTGGCACACGCCCCCACTGTATCAGGAGATCCCCTAGCGTGCCGAACGCGTGACTGTTGAATCCTCTTCTATAGACTTCCCGCCGGCCTCCGGGCCGGCCTGCCAGCCACCCGGGAAGCCGCCCCAGATGGAAAGTCCAGCGGTTCGCCCGCTGCAGACGGTCCCAAGAGGGCCAAGAGGGCCTCCGAGACGGCTAAAGACGGCCCCAGGACGCCTCCAAGTCAGCCAAGATGGCCCCAAGACGGCCCCAAGATGCCCTCCTCACGGCCCAAGAGGCCCCCAGGACGACTGAGGAGGGCTCCAAGAGGAGGCCAAAATATTTGAAGGCCCTTAGGTTTTTCAATGATTGTAGCGTTCTTGCCTTTTCGGGATTCCGACGCCCCAAGACGGCCTCATGAGCCCCGACGATCGCCCTAAGACGTCCCAAGAGGCACGCCATACCGCCCAAAAGTGCTGCATGACGGCCCAAGAGGCCACCAAGACGGCCCCAAGACGGCTCGACAGACCTAGAAGACGGTCTCTAAGCGCCCAAGCGACCCCTACGACTGCCCAGAGAGGCCCCAAAGACGGCCTCCAACGGCCCGCAGAAGCCCCCAAGATGCCCCCAGGGGGCGCCCAAGAGACCGGCCAGAAGCCCAAGGAGACCCCAAAGAGGCCCCAGGAGGTCCCCAAGAGGCCCCTGAGAGGCCCCTTAGAGGCCCCCAAGAGGCGCCAAAGAAGCCCCACAAGACGGTCTCAAGCTCCTCCTCCTGCTCCTCCTCCTCTGAGTATGTCTTCTCCTCCCTCTAATCCTCCTCTACCTTTCTCTCCCAAGTGTTCCTCCCAGAGGGTTCCAGACAACGGCTGGGGAAACACATAGTCTGATAGCTTGGCCCGGCTGTGGCCCAAAGTTTGGCCAGAGAGGTGTTTCCAACAGGCAAGGAGCGGCGGTGGTTCGCCGTTGGCGTCTTCTTCGATGGGCACGGAGAGCGTGGACGACATCACCTGCCCGCGGTGCCGTTTGTTCTGGAAGCTCCGTGCTGTGGTATGCGGGCTTGCCTGGTCGACCCCTGGCACGCGGCGCACCTCAACTCGTATCTCTGGTTGCAGAGCTCTGCCCGGCAGCCAGCCTGTACCACCAAGCCCCTGCCGGCCCACGAGGAGCATCACAACCAACCCGCAAAATACGGACGCACGATAAGGATGCGAGGGCCTTGGAAAGCCATGCCGATACTTTGCGGGCGGGGCGCGGCCAGCGAAAGAGGGGAAGGATGCGACGGGAACCTGGAAAGATTGCTCATCCTTACTATGTGCCACTGTGCCCTTGCCGGCCGACAAGGAGCAGTAGGATCACTTCGTCCTGCTCATGGACGTCATGCCGCCTGGGTGTTTCGGCCGAGACACTTCCTGCCAACAACTCTCATCTCTTGAAGAGAAGCGGATGGAACCTGGGACAGCGAAGACCCCCCCTGGCTCTGAGGCTGCACTTCTGGACTCCGAGCTGGATGTGCCAAGATGCCCCACTCGGGAAGAGTCGAAAGTCCTTGAGCTTGCCACACGCGTCTGGCAAGGCCAAGTTGTCTTTGGGTGTCAGCAGTCGCTCTGCTAGTGCAGTACATAAGTTATTGTGCCCTTCTCACTATGATGCCAGCCTCTGGCGCCAAAACCATAACATTTGCAAGTGAAGTGTGCAAGTGCCTTCCAGTCAGAACGCTTCAATGATGAGGCCGAGGAACAAAGCAGCAAGGTGCGGGCACCAATTTTGTCGCCCGCTGCACTGACGTGCTCGCTGGCCACTCGGCTGAGGGGCACCGCGTGGCTTACTTACCAGGGAGCAGGGTACGGTCGCAACGGTAGTGGTGCTTCCCATTAGTCCGCAAGAAACTTCTCATGACCACCTTATATGTCGTGATAACGGATGATGGGCTCCCTCAGGAGCAACGATAACAACCACCTCGACCTGTCGGACATCGCTCTTCCCTCCTGCTGCGGCCTCGCCACCGTCCGCGAATTCAGTGAATCATGTCTGCACGTGCTGCCGGAATGTGAACGTGAGCATGCATGGTGCCGCTTCACTAGCTCACGCGATACGGTTGCCGAGTAGTATCGCTACACGACGTGTTTCGCAGCAACGCTTACGTCTCCAAGTATCCTGAGACTACCAGATTGCGTGCGAGCCAAACGCCACCCCTCGTCGAGGTTACCTCCAGCTTATCTTTTCTCGTGCGCTCGCGAATTTGGCCTGCCAGTGGGACGGGGGAGGGGGACGAAGAAGAGGCCGAGAACGAGGAAGGCGGCGAGGGAGGGGCCCGCCGAGATGGCAGTGCCTCTCGGACCTACGTGCGCCCCAATGATAGGAGAACAATGGCATAAACAGAATGTCTTGGAGGTCCGCGCGGATCTCTTGGGCCTGCGCTGAGACTTTCCTGCACGGCGCGCGGAGCGCGCCAGGGGCGGCGCTGGAGGCGCCGCCAAGGGAGTCCAGCGTCGATCCAAGAAGCCCGCGCGGAACTCGTCTAACTTCTGTTTACGCAGATCTGCTCTTCCTCGACCAGTCTCAGATGTGAACCAGCGTCGGCGCGGGCAAGTTCTCTCGGGCGGGTGGTGCTGTGGGTGGACCTAAACGGGAATGAAGACAAGGGCCCTCAAGGGGCCCGTTCCTTCACCCCCCGTTTGTCGGCGACAAGCCCTGGGGGGGGGGGAAGTGAGAAGGGGCGGGCCTTCTCAGAAGGCCTGGAAGTCCCCCGGCCTTCTGAGGAGCTACCTGAGCTGCCATCGCAGACACAGAACAAATCTCTCGGAAGGGCCGCGGCCTTCTGAGCAGTCCCCCCCCGCCTTCCGGGGGGGCCTTCTCCTTCTCGTTTCCCCCCCTCGCTCGCCGCCGAATTTGGCCAACCCCCTCCTCCTCCTCCTCCTCCTCCTCCTTCTCCTCCTTCTCCTCCTCCTCCTCCTGCTCCTCCTCCTCCCCCCCTGCTCCTCCTCCTCCTCCTCCTCCTCCTCCTCCTCCTCCTCCTCCTCCTCCTCCTCCTCCTCCTCCCCCATTGCCACCCGCCCGATGCTCCGCTGGCGCGCCCACGATCCGGTGGCGCCTCGCTACATCGCCGCCCTCCGGCTCCGAGCACCGAGGCGGCGCCGCGCGCGCGAAGCCGACCCTCCTCTGGCGCCAGTCGAAGGCCGTGTAGTACCTGCGCAGCACGGGCTCGCCGAGGATCCACGTCTTGGACCCCGTGCTGCCCTCCTCTGTGGGGGGGGGGGCAGGAGGAGGAGGAGGAGGAGGAGGAGGAGGAGGAGGAGGAGGAGGAGGAGGAGGAGGAGGAGGGGGAGGAGGAGGAGGAGGAGGAGGAGGACGACGAGGAGGACGACGAGGAGGAGGAGGAGGAGGAGGACGAGGAGGGGCCAGCAGGACGAGGAGCACGAGGAGGAGGGCTTCGTGGGGCCTCTCTGGCCATGCTCATCCTGAGCCCAGCAACGGTGTATACGCCACGCCATCCTGGCATGGCCAGGAGGGCGTTTTCACGGCTCCTGGGTTCGGGGTGTGCCTGGCCAGGGAACAGTGGATACGCATAGATTGCGGGGCCCGACTCTGGGGGAACACAAACTTCAAAGAGGCCTGAACAGAAACTTCCGGCGGTCCGCGTGAAAGTCTTGGATCGACCTCGAGGCGCCGCAAGGAGCCCACCGCCGATCCAAGAGAATTGAGGGGAAACGTTAGGGGGAGACCAGCTCAGAGGGGGCAGCGTCGACGCGGCATCGGCGGTACCTCGCCGATGGATCGGCAACAGGCCCTCGATAGCGAATCCGCATGTTCCTGGGCGGGGCGGGCTATCGGGCCATAAAATCGGGCGTTGGCAAAACTGGGTTTAGTGGCACCTGGTTTAATGATGTGTGCCGGGGGGCGCCCCCCCCCGCCCCGCTCCGCGAACCGGATTTGCCGTCACCTGAAAAACACCAGTTAGGGCAAACCTGGCTGAGTGAATCTGGCCAAGTGCACGGGCGTGCACAAGAAACTGCACGTGCGTGCAACACTTCTCGGTGCCGAGGATTTCCAGTGCCAACACGCAGTGTTGGTAAAGTGTACATTTAATTATCCCGGCAAAGCAACCTAACAGCGATGTGTAGAAGCATATCTGAAAGCATTCCCCTTAAGATTCAGATGAAAATCCAGTTGTCGAATTCTGCTGTTCTCGCAGTCGTAGTCGCATTCGCGATGACAGTCGCAGCGGCAACGGCAGTCGCAGTCACAGCCTCAGCCTCAGCCTGCCTCAGCCTCAGCCTCAGCCTGCCTCAGCCTCAGCCTGCCTCAGCCTCAGCCTCAGCCTGCTTCAGCCTCAGCCTCAGTCTGCCTTCAGCCTCGGCCTCAGCCTCAGCCTGCCTCAGCCTCAGCCTGCATCAGCCTCAGCCTCAGCCTCAGCCTGCCTCAGCATCAGCCTGCCTCAGCCTCAGCCTCAGCCTGCCTCAGCCTCAGCCTCAGCCTGCTTCAGCCTCAGCCTCAGTCTGCCTTCAGCCTCGGCCTCAGCCTCAGCCTGCCTCAGCCTCAGCCTGCCTCGGCCGCAGCATCAGCCTGCCTCAGCATTCAAAATGTGGCCCAGGAATGGAGTTCTGGGAACTAGAAGAACACGAAGTGGCCTACAGTTGGCTCCGGGCATTCAAAATCATGCCCAGGAATGGAGTTCTTGGAACTTGAAGAGCACGAAGTGGCCTACAGTTGGCTCCGGGCATCCAAAATGTGGCCCGGGAATGGAGTTCTGGGAAATCGAAGAGCACGAAGTGGCCTACAGTTGGCTCCGGGCATCCAAAATGTGGCCCGGGAATGGAGTTCTGGGAAGTCGAAGAGCACGAAGTGGCCTACAGTTGGCTCCGGGCATTCAGAAATGTGGCCCGGGAATGGAGTTCTGGGAAATCGAAGAACACGAAGTGGCCTACAGTTGGCTCCGGGCATCCAAAATGTGGCCCGGGAATGGAGTTCTGGGAAGTCGAAGAGCACGAAGTGGCCTACAGTTGGCTCCGGGCATTCAGAATGTGGCCCGGGAATGGAGTTCTGGGAGGTCGAAGAGCACGAAGTGTGTGACTGTTGGCTTAAAACGACTTCTGCGGCACCCTGTCCGGCACCCGCCCAGACCCCCCTGTGGAGTCATCTGCTGCTCTCTTTTGACCCTACTAGAAACCTATCAGTCTTCGCTGTTAGGTAACTAGAAACCTATCAGAACAAGCTGTTCGGTAATTTGTTGTATTTAATTATCCCGGCAAAGCAACCTAACAGCGATGTGTAGGAGCATATCTGGAAGCATTCCCCTTAAGATTCAGATGAGGATCCAGTTGTAGAATTGTGCTGTTCTCGCAGTCGTAGTCGCATTCGCGATGACAGTCGCAGTGGCAACGGCCGTCACAGACACAGCCTCAGCCTCAGCCTGCCTCAGCCTCAGCCTCAGCCTGCCTCAGCGTCAGCCTGCCTCAGCCTCAGCCTCAGCCTGCTTCAGCCTCAGCCTCAGTCTGCCTTCAGCCTCGGCGTCAGCCTCAGGCTGCCTCAGCCTCAGCCTGCATCAGCCTCAGCCTCAGCCTCAGCCTGCCTCAGCCAGCCTCAGCCTCAGCCCTCAGCCTCAGCATTCAAAATGTGGCCCGGGAATGGAGTTCTGGGAACTCGAAGAGCACGAAGTGGCCTACAGTTGGCTCCGGGCATTCAAAATGTGGCCCGGGAATGGAGTTCTGGGAACTCGAAGACACGAAGTGGCCTACAGTTGGCTCCGGGCATCCAAAATGTGGCCCGGGAATGGAGTTCTGGGAACTCGAAGACCACGAAGTGGCCTACAGTTGGCTCCGGGCATCCAAAATCTGGCCCGGGAATGGAGTTCTGGGAACTCGAAGAGCACGAAGTGGCCTACAACTGGCTCCGGGCATTCAAAATGCGGCCCGGGAGTGGAGTTTCGGGGGACTCGAAGACCACGAAGTGGCCTACAGTTGGCTCCGGGCATTCAAAATGTGGCCCGGGAATGGAGTTCTGGGAAGTCGAAGAGCACGAAGTGGCCTACAGTTGGCTCCGGGCATTCAGATTGTGGCCCGGGAATGGAGTTCTGGGAGGTCGAAGAGCACGAAGTGTGTAGCTGTTGGCTTAAGACGACTTCTGCGGCACCCTGTCCGGCACCCGCCCAGACCCCCCTGTGGAGTCATCTGCTGCTCTCTTTTGACCCTGCTAGAAACCTATCAGAACAAGCTGTTAAGTAAAAACGTTCCGAAACCGGGTCCCCCAGGGTCCTGCCCAATTGAAGGGCCCCAGGGCCCTACCCTGGCCATCGCTCGGACGTCCATTCCCTGTGTTTTTTCGGTTTCGTGCGTGGCTTTTTCTCCAAAGGATCAAGGATGCTCCTCGAAGGTCCTCGCCGAAGGAAACATGCACACGTCCGAGCGATGCTTAGTACCACTAACCGGGTCCCCTTACCCGGGGTCCTGGCCATACCCGACCCTGCCGGCGACCCAGGGGGGGATCGGGGGTCGCCGCGTGCTCCCTGTGAGCCTCTCCCCCTGCCGCTGCGCCCGAGCTGTGGTTGCTGCAGCCGTGTGCTTTTCGGCTCTGCCCGAGGCTATGCCGCCTCTCGGCCTCGCTCTGAGGCTCCGCCGCTTCCTCCCTCCTCTTCCCTGCCTACTCCAGATTTCGTAATAAAGGGGGGGGGTCTCATTTCGGGGGGGGGTCTCTTCCAGGCTATCTTGGAGGGCCTGGGGTGGTCTGGGGACGATGTTTTGGAGGGTTCTCCCACGAGGGGGGGTCTGAAATGGCTTGTCTTGGAGGGTCCAGACCCCCTCCCTTTTATTACGAAATCTGGAGCAATTTGGTGGTCTCCAAACCAGGTGGTCAGACACCCGGTGGTGACCCCGATTCGCCCCCCAAAAAATTCTGGGTCACCACCGGGGTCGCCACGAGGTTTTGCGCTTCCTGGGCCAGCCAGCGCTCGAAAACCATTACCCAAATCGCCCAAAACTCACCACCGGGTGTTCTCACCACCACGTTTGGGGACCACCAACTAATTCAAGCTTCGCGCGGCCCGCTTAGCTTCGACAGGAAGAGATGCGCTCTCGACCCGCGGATCAACAGAAAGTTTTCCTCGGCTCCTCCACAGGCAGCAGAGCTGCCCTGCACACCAGGCTGGTCATGTTGCTGCCGACCACGGCCAGCGCCGCAGGGCGGGAATAATCCTGGGCCTCCAGGGACAGCTGCATGTGCCCAAAGTCGAAGACAACCGTCGGTCCTGGAGGAAGCAAAAAACTGCACAAACACACACAGCCTTTCGGAGCCGCGCCGATCCAAGAAGTCCGCGCGGAGCTCCGAACGCTCCTGTTTGTATCATTTTCTGTTCCTTGAGGTCCGGGGTGCTGTCTGCAGTCGAATCCAGCAGAAGCATCTACAGTGGCGTCTCCATCGACCTGCCGCGACAGCAAGAGGTGCATCTCCTTCGCCGCCCCTCGCGGCACACCGAACAAGGACGTGCCGGTGTCCACAACGGCAGCACACCCGCCACTTTCGCAACACTCTAGCGGCTCACCGTCGACCGTGACGCGCTTCAGGCTGAGCTGCCAATATCCCATCTCTGGCCTTTCAACAGGCGCCCACAGCATCTCGGACGCCGCCCGTCGTGGGTCGTGGCCGCCGAATGAGATCTCGCTCGGAACGCAATCGTCCCCAGAGATGAAGACGCCGAAAACCGCCTGCATCTCAGAATGTTGTTTGCTCATCTGCCCAAAGAAGCTGAAGTCTGGGTGGAGCGCCAAGCTGTCCAAACCCAGGCCGAGCACACCGTCGAATTCAAAAGAGAGGAAAGGCTGCGCTGTCATCTCTGTGGCGAGGACCGTGCGAACCCTGGCACAACTGCCAGAATGGAGCGCCACTGCGATTTCCTCGCCCGGGTAGTCATCGAAACAAACAACCTCTTCGGCAATGTCGCCCACCAACTGGCCAGTGCCGAACGAGATCTGCACTGTGTCTCGCACTTGTGCGCCAACTGACACCTTCTCGCCGTCAGCGTTCAAGTCGACCGCGGACTCGGAGAGACCCCGCTCGTAGCGGCGATGACTAACGCACGTCTCGCTGGCGCACTTTGAGGATGGCAAGACGACGTGTCCAGATCCAGTATCAAAGACGACGGTGAATTTCTGTGGCTGCGGCAAACCAACATACACTGTCCCAAAATACGCTGTCTTGAACGTCACCGTGCGGTTGTTTCGCTTGACCGGGACATACTGCTTATCCAACGGGATGGTGACCAATCCGTTCGTCGCATTCCCTATCGGAGTTGAATGCTTCCGGAAAGCGTCGGCCTCTGGGGCAAATATCAAACTTCCGAAGGACATGAAGCTTGCATGAATTATAGAGAATTCGCTGACCCCTTGGGGTTACAGACAACCCGCAGAAGAAGCACGCACGACAAGAATGCAAGGGCCTTCGAATGCCCGGGGCGCGGCTAGCGACAGCGGACAAGGATGCCGAAGGGGAAGGATGTAAAGGTAAACTTGGAAAGTCGCTCATTCTTACTTACTAGGCGTGTTGACTGTACTTGGCGTGTGGAAAATCCCACCTCCGGGAGGCCAATACAGCTGACTTGTAGGTGGTGGGTAACGGAGAGAAGCGGATATGAACGCGGTATGACTGGGGGTTGTGAGCGAAGCGCCGAAACGGGTTCCAAAGTGCTCGACACGGCTCAAGCTGACCCTCAAAATTTGTTTAATGACTTTTAATGTTGTATTTGGTCTCTGGTCTGCTTTGAAGGAGTCCCCAGATGGCCTCAAGGTTGCAGGAGGTCGCCAGACAATTTTCTACGAATGTCTCCGTGGGGGAAACATTACAAAAACCCTGCGCCTTCAATGATAGTCAGCGTGGACCCCAAGCAAGCTGAGCAGTGCACTTCACGCGCTGCCACCTGTGTAGTGTACTCAATGCGGAGCTATATATATATATATATATATATATATGTATATATACACGCACACTTCGAACACACACACACACACACATATATATGTATGTATATGTACACAAGAACAACGCGCGCACTTCGCGCGCGCTTAGGTTCTAGCATGCTCTAGTTCTAAGATGAAAACTATCGGTGTCGGTCGACATATTGTCACGCGGCTCGTGCCCCGCAAGCAACTTCACCCACGGCCCAAAAAACAGGCTTGGCGTAGCGTCCCCCCGCCCATGTCGGCACACTTTTCACTATAATCGCGCCCAACAGGGAGCTCCACCTACGTCCTCAGAAACAAGTTTCGCATGGTGGCACACCCCTCAGGCGGATCGTGGCCCGCAAGCAACTGCATTTGCGGCACCAGAGGGGAGCTTCATAGCGTCGCCCAGCTCACTTTGGCACTCCTCTTACGCGGATCGTGGCCCCAAACAATTTCCACGGACGGCCCCAGAAACAAGGTTCGCATCCCACCCCCCCGCCTACGGCAAACCTCTCACGCTGATCGTGGCCCACAGGGATCTCTACCTACGGCCCCAAAGGCAGGCAGGGTTTTCAATGCGCACCCCCCCCCCCATCTGGCCATTGCGACACGCGCCCCATCACACGGATCGCGCCCACAAGAAACACCACCTGAAGATCCAGAGACATGGTTCGCACAACGCCACTTCGCCCATATCCGCACACCCATCACGCGAATCAGGCCCCAAAAAGAGCTCCACCTAAAGCACCATTGGGCAACTTCGCTTGGCGTCCCCCCTCCCATTTCGGAACATGCGGAAACCCAAACCTGGGCCCCGGAAAAAATCTAAGATCGTCCCCAGGACCGTGAAATCATTGAAAAAACGAAAGATGTTGCAATTCATCTTTGTTCAAACGTAGGCGTTTTGGATGTATCTTAGAGGCAATGTTTGGGGCCTCTTGGGGGGCGTCTTGGAGGCATCGCGGAGGCTTCACGGGAGCATATTGAAAGCTATGTTTGGGCCTCTTGGGGCATTTTGGGGCCTCTCGGGGCCTTTCGGGGGTCTCTTGGGGCCTCCTGGGGGTCTCGTGGGGTCACGGCTCGATATTTGAATAGATGTTCCTCCTGTGGGACCCGTCTTGGGCCTGTGCTGGGGTCTCTTGGGCCATCTTGGGGGCCTCCTGGGCAGTCTTGGGCTCTTCCTGGGCCGCCCTGGAGCTCTCTCTCTCTCTCTCTCTCTCTCTCGGGGACTTCCTGGGCCGTCATGGGAGCCTCTTGGGCCGTCTGGGACGCTGTGAAAGCCCGAGAGGCGAGCATGCTAAACTAGAAGTTCTCCGAAAGGGAATGTGACGGCTTTTGCTGATTGGGGCCCTCTTGCAGGGCTTCTTGGGGCGTCTTGGGGCTGTCGCGGCGTCATCTGGGGCCGTCTTGGAGCTTTCATGGGGCGATGTTAGGAGCCTTGGGGGCCAGTCGCAAGCTATCTTGGGTGGTCCCGGGAGATTGTCTTGCCTTCTGGGACCACCTGGGGTCGCCCGGGGAGGTCCTCGGGAAGAAGGGGCACCGAAATACACAGGGGGGAGGCCGACCCGGGGCCCCAGGCCCGGGATCTCCCATAGACCTGTCTATGTGAACATCTACATATGTATATATATACATATATATATATAAGGTGTATGTATGTATGTATGTATGTATGTATGCATGTATGTATGTATGTATGTATGCATGTGCGACGGCAACACCAACCACAGCATTTTGCTTCTGCCGGTACTTCGCCACCAGGTTCCTGGACAAGGCGCACCTTCGCAAGCACGTCGATTTCGGCACCGCCTGATCCCGAGGCTTTGCCTCCTCCAGGCCTCGCCCTGAGGCTGCGCTTTCCCCCCCTCTCCCCCTCTTTGTTAATTCAAGCTTCGCGCGGCCCGCTTAG